GTAGTAGTAGTAGTAATAGTAGTAGTAGTAATGGTAGTCGTAGTCGTAGTAGTAGTAGTAGTAGTAGTAGTAGTAGTAGTAGTAGTAGTAGTAGTAGTAGTAGTAGTAGTAGTAGTAGTAGTAGTAGTAATTCTTCTTATTCGCACAATCATTAGTAGTCGTAGTAGCGTAGTATGAGTCGTAGTAGTAGTAGTAGTAGTAGTATAGTAGTAGGAGTAGTACGTAGTTGTCGTAGCAGTGGTAGGTCGTATCATATTGGTGGTGTGGTAGTTCGTGGTGAAGTATTACTGAAGTAGAGAGCAGCATCTTATGTCGTGAGGTAAAAATTAGATTAATTATGATTTTGTATTACTACTAAGTCGTAGTATTATTCCGTCCTCCCGATAGTATTTAGTCGCTCGTCAGTGTAGAGTAGTGTAGTGTAAGTGTAGTCAGTACCAATACGTCGTACTAAGTGGTAATAATATCCAGTAGTCGTAGCGTAGTAGTAGTAATAATGTTCCAAAGTAATAGTTCAGTAGTGAATAGTAATTAGTAGTCCAGTAGTAAATACCGTCACAGTCCGTACGTAGAGTGTAGTAAGTGAGTAGTTTGAGGTGGCGCTCGTAGTAGTAGTAGTAGTAGTAGTAGTAGTAGTAGTAGTAGTAGTAATAGTAGTAGTAGTAGTAGTAGTAGTAGTAGAAGGTAGTAGTAGTAGTAGTAGTAGAAGAAGTAGTAGGGTAGTAGTAGTAGTAGTAGTAGTAGTAGTAGTAGTAGTAGTAGTAGTAGTCGTAGTAGTAGTAGTCGTAGTGTGCCCATGTTGAGACCAGGCTCGGAACCTCAGGTTCGGGACTCCACGTCGCCCAGGCGTGGCTCCCGCAAGGTCCTCGAAGATGCCGTGCCCGCGTTGGAACCTCGTTGGGGCCCCGGCAGCAAGGGCGCAACGCGACTCCCGCAAAGTCCTTCAGGATCCCGTGCTCACGTTGGGACCATGTGAAGACTTTCGCGGCAAGGGCTAAACGCAACTCCCGCGTAGTCCTCGAGGATTTTGCGCCAATGTGGGACCCATGTTGCGGCCCTCAGGTCAGAAGCCCAAAACGATTCCCGCAAGGTCCTCGAAGATTTGGCCCCAATGTTAAGCCGATGTTGAGACCCTTCAGGTCAAGGGCTAAACATGACTACCGCAAAGTTCTCGAGGATTGCGTTCCCATGTTTAGCCTCTTGGGTTGAGCCCATGTTGAGACTCTCGCGTCAGAGGCTCCATCGTCTTCAGGGTTTTCGTGCCCATCTTGGGCCCATGTTGAGCTCTTCAGGTCAGAGGCTCAACGTGCCCCCCCGCGTAATCCTCGAGGATTTCGTGCCCATGTTGAACCCATGTCGAGCTTTTAAAATCAGGGGCGCAACGCTGCCTTGGCGTCGCTCCCGCGTAGTCCTCGAAGATTTCTTGTCCATGTTGAGCCCCGTCCGACTTTGGGTGTTCTACTATTGAAATGGTATTGATGGGAGGCTCAACGTGCGCCATCCGCGGTCGCTAAGAAGCGAGCAACACATCGGCCCAAACCAGAATTGCAGTCTGGCCCCGTACCCAAAGTCGGCCCCATCTGAACGCGGCGGGAAGCTCGGCCAGCCTCGGTGCGGCCAGGGTGGCAGACCATGTGGCCCGCGGCGGGCGGACCATGGGGCCGTCGGCGGCTGGAGCCAAAGCAGTTTCAGAAACCATCGGCGACGACGGGAGATGGTAATTTCGATGGGGGCATGATGCCCGCGTCAAGAACTCCCAATCGAAATTTAAACTTGAACGAGAGAGGGACTCTAGTAGCAATAGTAGCAGTAGTCGTAGTCGTAGTCGTAGTAGTAGTCGTAGTCGTAGTAGTAGTAGTAGTAGTAGTAGTAGTAAAAGTAGCAGAAGTAGTGGAAGTAGTAGCAGTAGTAGT